CTTCTGGCCTCCCTATAAGCGTCGAATTTGTGTCCACGAAGCAGGCCATCTCCTTGTTGGTAAACCTTGTTTCAATAAACACTTGACAGAATTTACTGCTAGAATGAAATAACTTCAGAAATTAGATTCATCCATCTTTCATGAGATTAAGTTCGGATAATGTGTGCTTCTGGAGATTTTATGTTTCGTACGATGACATGCCCATAGATATTGTTAGCCTTGTTTTCCCAAACACCAAATGCATAGAATATCGTTCTAGCCCTTTCTATTACTATCAGTCTTTATTGGCTGTAACATTAGAAGAAATGTAAACGTTCCTCTTATAGTAATTCATTTGTTCACTAATATAAATGCAGCATACCTGATGGGTTGTCCAATTCGTGGTGTAATTTTAGACCCCATTGTTGCAATGCAGATGGGCATTCAAGGACAGGTATTTCACTGTAGATCCTTCTTATTGTCTATCTGATTCACAGTGTAATGCTGGATCAATTGTCAGAATACAGATGGGAATTCCAGACAATTATTTCTAACTAAACATGCACAAACAGTATTCCATTAGATGTCGCACACCGTACCACAATTTAATCCGTGACAGGATACAACCTATTTTTATTGTCTTCAATAAGTTCCCTAATTTATACCCTTCGAGTGGACCAGTTGTAGAACAAGTTTTAGCTATGTGTAGCGTACTCTTACAGCTATCTAGTCAGTATTTGTATATTGCAGAACAGTGGTTGAATGGCTTCTACAATATTGCTTTTCTACATGGCACAGTGAAACATAATTATGTAGGCATGCCTCAATATTTTCTTTTCCTCAGTAGCGGCTGTCCTTGTTCCATGAGACGAATTCACAATTTAAATAGTGAGATCTGTAGCTTCTTATTTTCTTAGAAGTCAAAGTTTCATCCTCAATACAGAAGGTTGTGGACCCATTTTAGAATTATTTGAACAGTTAAAATTTTCTCGTTTCTATTTTTCCTTTTTTTTTTTCATGCAGGCAGGAACTCAGTTTTGGGATGAGAAACTGCAAAATGAGCTTGCTGAAGGCCGGTTAAGTAGTACCGCATTTGACAGGTAGACGTCCAAGCCAGTCATTTCTATGCTGGAACCAGCTCTATGGATTTTCTGCGAGCCATTGAATTGTTGTTTTGCACAAAATCTTGTCAAATCTGTACAAAAATGAGATCAAGAAACCCTTTCGGCCATTTTGTTTACTGCGGTTCCTTGTACCAAAATAATTAAAGCTAAAACTGTCAGGTACTGCATGGTTCTATTTGCTGGGATTGCCGCTGAAGCTCTTATTTATGGAGAGGCTGAAGGTGGAGAAAATGATGAAAATCTCTTCCGAAGCATCTGTATTCTTCTAGAACCCCCACTCTCTGTGGCACAGGTCTTTCTCTGATTAAAGTTACTTGCTTGTCTTATTTACTCTGCTTTTATAATGCAACATTCAAAGTTTTCAAACAGATGTCAAATCAAGCACGGTGGTCGGTTCTGCAATCTTATAATCTGCTGAAATGGCACAAACATGCACATCGAGCTGCGGTAAAAGCTATTGAGAGTGGATGCAGTCTGAGTGTGGTCATTAAAAAAATTGAGGAAGCCATGTCTATGAAAAAATGAAGCTGGAAAAGAAGAATGATAGATAGATATTTGTAGAAGAGGTGATTCTCATCCTCCATCATCTTTCCTTTCAAAGTCAGACTACTACTTGTTAATATATGAATGTACACTAATAATTTCTTTTTGACAATTAATTACAGGGTTTGTTGAGGCATTTAGCTGTAAGGACAGGAAGGTGTAAGGAGCACAGGGGATTCCTAGTGTTGGCATCTTGTGTTTTAACTTGTCCAAACATATTTACTGCTATGAAAAGCCTCAACTGGAGCTAGTAGAAAAGGATCGAACATTCTTTGGGCCCGTGGAGATGTCTGAGCTTTGAAAATGAATATGAAAATGAAAATTTGGGTGAGCTTTTGGCTGTGAGCTAAGGAGCAGAATCTTAAATTTGAGGAACTGAGAGAATCCTGCATCTAGTATCCATTGATATAAAGATGTTCCATGGAAATATTTGGTTAACTTTTATAAGGGGCGAGAATGCTGTGGAACAACAGGGGAAAGACAGAAAGAAAAGTCTCATTGTAATTTCTTTTTGTACAGTGTAAAAGTGTAAACTACTGAGCTCATTCAATACTTTAAGCAGAAGAAGTCATGCAATGACCTCTTTGGACTTGTATTTGCTGAGAAAGATAAATGGATGTTTAGGCTGAGTTAGGGGAGGAAAATAATTATCTTTTCATGCCAATGTACTGTTAGAACGCCCGTGCACAGGTTTCAATTCAACAGCCAACACGAATGCTGGTAGTGGATGCTGCTGGGCTAGCGCTGTGTCCACTAGTAACACGAATGCTGCTGGGCTTGCGTTGTGTCTGCTGTTCATCTTCTCTTCTGTCTGCCGTTCAAATTTTTGGCTCTTGCTTTTTCACTTCAACATCTTTCAGTTTCTAAGATTTACTATGTTCCCAAGCCCACTAGCTTTAGCAATGCTTCTGCGTAATAGTATATTGGGAATCTGTTGGGACTTCTATTGTAGTTTTTGGCAACCCATATCTCAGCTCTTGCTTAATGGATCCCTTTGAGGTAGGGAATGAGCTATGATGGTTTTTGGTAGGAATGGCAGGCGGGGCGGGTTCTGTCTAAACCCGCACAATTTCAACTTGCCCCTCCCCGCACCGCATATGATTTAAACCCGCATTACCCCGCCCTACACTCCACCCGCGTTCACCCGCCCCGCCTTGCCCTACAAATTTTTTTTAATAAAAATTCTCTCTTCTCCAACTTTCTCCACTTGCTTTTAGAAAGCAAACAGATAAAGATTGTCCACTTCGTCTTGAATGGAATTTTTGGACATATTTAAGTACCGTAAAAGGCTTACGATAAAGGTGTTCATCGATTTAGAAAAGGCTTGCGTTAAAGTTTCGAGGGAGGTTCAGTGGAGATAGTTTGGGGGCTAGAGGGGTATCTGTGGCCTACATTAGGGTAATTAAAGACATGTACGAGGACAGTGGGAGGGGACTCGGACCGTTTTCCGGTAATGATGGGATTGCATCAGGGGTCGGCACTCAACCCTTTATTGTTTGCCCTGGCGATGGATGTACTGACTTGCAACATCCAAGGGGAGGTGGTGTGGTGCATGTTATTTGCAGACGATATTGTTTTGATTGACGAGATGCGAGACAGTGTTAACGTGAGGTTAGAGATGTGGAGACAAGACCTTGGAGTCTAAAGGTTTCAAGCTGAGCAGAACCAAGACAGAATACTTGGAGTGTAAGTTTAGTGGTGCTACTCAGGAAGTGGAAGGGGAGGTGAGACTAGATTCACAATTCATTCCTAGGAGGGGAAGTTTTAAGTACCTTGGGTCTATTATACAAGGGGATGAGGAGATTGATGAAGATGTCACACATTGTATTGGGACAGGATGGATGAAATGGAGACTTGCTTCCGATGTTTTGTGTGACAAGAAGGTACCACCAAAACTTAAAGTATGTTTTATTGAGCGGTGGTCAGACCTGCTATGTCGTATGGGGCTGCGTGTTGGCCAGACACGAGCTCCCACGTCCAGAAGATGAAGGTAGTAGAGATGCGGATGTTGAGATAGACGTGCGGGCACACTAGATTAGATAAGATTCGGAATGAAGTTGTTAGGGACAAGGTGGGTGTGGCCCCTATTGAGGACAAGATGCAAGAAGCACGAGTTAGATGGTTTGGACATGTGAGGAAGAGAAGCACGAACGCTCCGGTAAGGAGGTGTGAGAGGTTGACATTGGAGGGCCTTAGAAGAGGTAGAGGTAGAGGTAGGCCGAAGAAGAGTTGGGGTGAGGTGATTAGGCATGACATGGCGCAGCTACAGCTGACCGAGGACATGACTCGTGATAGGAAGGTGTAGAGGTCGAAGATTAGGATAGTAGGTTAGGTAGTCTAGATTATTCATACCGGTAGTGTTAGTACGTACTCTCGCATTTGGTTGGTAGTAGGCTTATTTGAATACCTGTCGTCTTTTTTTTCTCTACATTTCCATCATCTTACTATCTTGTGGTGTATGCTACTTTTACATGGTTTTTCGGTGTTGCCCCGTCTTGTTTTCTTGTTATTATTGTGGTACCTATGCTTGCCTGAGCTGAGGGTCTATTGGAAACAACCTCTCTACCCCACAAAGGTTGGAGTAAGGTTTGCGTACACACTATCCTTCCCAGACCCCGCTATGTTGAATTATACAGGGTATGTTGTTGTTAAGTACTAGAAAAATTTCCATATTCTTCATATTTAATTCCTAATACTCTTACAACTTTATAATTTATTTTATTTTTCGATAGAAGTAAATAAAACCTCAAAATGCGACTCATAATCTTTAGTTTCTCTTAAAACAGTAGTGTTAGCTTAAATCCTTTTACTCTCTGCTCGTGGCTCTCTCTTGCTAGTTAAGAATTACTGCATAGTATGATTTATTGACTATCACATCTTGAAGAATAAATATTTCAGGCACAAACATAACATAAAGAATTTTGATAACTGAAGGTAAGAAAGTTGCGCGATCATAAACCTGAGAAATTAGTGTGGCTGGTAGTGATTTAGCCTTTTAGGTTTTTAGTTCAAAAAAATTAAAATCTTGACCCGCGACCCGCCCCGCCCCAGTGCATCCCTAGACTTTTTGGAACATAATAATACTGTAGTCAATTCAAATCTGGCGTCTTCCTATTGAATGTGTTCTTACAATTACACTATTCATTTCCTTTCGTTGGAGAAATAATTCATACAAATTACTGTTGAATTCAACCTTATCTTGCGACCTGATGAGGGGATTGTGAATTATAGGGAAGGTAGTAAGAGATGACGCTGCCAACAGCTTTGTTTAGGGGAAGGTGCCTGAGATGTGGCCGTGGAATTGGCGCATCTCTGGATCAGGTGCAAGGAAAAAAGAAGTCCTTGGACAGGAGAAAATCAAATAGCTCATGCTTTGGGACATAAATTGAAACACCTGCTGGAAATCTTTTGTTCTTAAAAAATGTACACGCACTGGTTGGCTACCTGTCTTTATTTACTAGTGCACGATAAACAAAACAAAAAGATAGTACTGACTGTTTTTTTCACGAGAAAGACAGTACTAACTTAAGCTGCTGAGGAAGTTGCTTAACATGCTAATAAACTCACTTCCAATTGTGTTTATATACTTAAATTTATGTCAATGGACGCTAGCCAGAAATAATGTAGTCAAGGTTTTCAACAAGTTCCTTGCTGCAGCTAAACTTTAATTCCTCCCGATATGCTGTTGAACCACAATGTCTTGTAAATATAGTTGATACACTTAAAGCTTGCTGGAAGGAACTCCTACTGGTGCATTTCTTGATCTTTTCTCAACTGTTCGAGAGAGCTCTTTAACTGCATCTTTAGGTAGATGTCGAGGTCTGCTCAGCCAGAGTCCTCCATCGACAATAATGGTGGTTCCATTGATATATTTGCCTACATGCAGGAAGCATATGTAAGAAAGTAAAAAAGAGATTACTACAAGCAAGAAGCAAATCGAGGGTTTCTAATTGAAGTCTTGATTTAGCCTAAAAATGCAAGTAAAGTGGATGTTCCATATTGATGCAGTAACTGCATGCACGTAAACTTGCATCCTTTTCGGGAAAAAAAAATGTTTTCCAGTATGCAACGTGCTTTCTTCAATTGCCATGTTTATAAACATTTTAAAACCAATACAATTAAGGAGAAATAGCAATAAAAGCAGGTTTATGAACAAGATAGGCACTTCCAAGATCCAACTATAGCACGCTCTTATCTCACAGTAAACGCAGAGGATCATCAAATAACTGCGAACACAGTTACAAGGTTCTATACAACCGCAACAGTCGTCAAAGAGGACAAACATGTTTTAAGTAAAGGATAGACAATGGTTGGTTTCTCTTCCTCTTTTTCGTTGGAGGCAGCAGCAGATTAAGGATGTATTATCAGTAGGTTCGAAGTTTAGACTGACATCACGGCGCCCATTGCTCTCCTGAACCAGTGGGTTTGGTTCTCTTGAAGTTTCTCATACATATTCAAGGTCAGTTCTAATAGCTGTGGGTCCAGATATGAATTTTCTCATACATATTCAAGGCCGGAGCTAAAGCAGGCTTGAATATGGATTTTCACACACAAATTTCGAGGTTGGAGTTAAAAGCATTTAGTTCAAATATGGATTTCCACATAGATGTCCACGGTGGAGTGAAAAGCTGTGGATTTATCCGGACCGAATACATTCTCCTTATTGGTAGCATATATTACCCGAAGCAAAGGAAAACGTAGAAGTGGTAGCGGGAGTCAATCAAGTAAGTCCAACCATCCCGTGCAGAGCAAAAGAGTGGCAAAGTGAATTCCTCATTACAAATTCAACTGAGCATGAGTGACAGGAAGAGACACACCACGAGAGGATAGGAAGAATTGACACCAACTGGTCACATCAATAGTGAACTTGGACATGGTGGTGAGGCAAGAGTGAGGGTAGAGGTAGAAACTGTATGTCACCTAATATGAACCAAGTTAGTAATGATAAAATATATCTATGCCGATCAATATTTCATATCTAGAAATTCATTTAGTATCATCAATATCAATATGACCCATTTAACACATCATACATTAGTACGAGTATAAAAAGCATCAGGTACCAACCAGCATCTGATGCAAGGTACAGAGCAGCCATGGCAATATCATATTTCTCCCCGAGTTTGTACAGAGGCATGTATTCTCTGGTCTTATTGTTTATCTCGTCCGGTACAAGTTTACGCATACCAGCAGTATCACCTATGGGGCCTGGTGCAATACCGTTGACTCTAATATCATAGTCTGTGCCCCACTCTAGAGCCAAATTTCTAGTGACTGCATCAACAGCAGCCTGCAGAGAGATATGATGCAAACGAGACCTAAAAATAAAAAATAAAAAATAAAAAACGAACACAAACTATTCTTGAAGCAAGCATAAAATTTCAAACCTTGGCAGCAGCTACATGGATTTGATACCAAGATGCAGTGTAATGCAAAGTAGCACTAATGTTCAGTATTATTCCACCTGAAGTCGAATTCCTCCCACGTCCTCCTTTCTTGATATAGTTAAGTGCTTCATGGCACATGGTGAATGTACCAACAGAATCAATATCTAGTACTGCAAAATCCATAGCAAGCAAACCAAAAGAATCAATATGTAATATTGGAAAAGCATTCCCTTCACTTCAAATCAGAGGGCAAGTAACTTCTATCCTTTTTCTACACAAGCACTCCCCTCACTCAACCTCCATTTCATACCACATGCCTCTTCCTCAAGAAGCGGACATAAGCACACGAGATAAATGGAGAAACAAAGAATAAACTTTCCTCTCTTCTATGCTTGTTTTGGAGAAATAGATTAAGAGAAGCTGACAATGCAGAAGGTTGGGAGAGGGATTTTTCACACTCATGTCTAGACATAGTTTCTGTATTTAACCTCTCACCTTTTTGAACCTTGAATCGCTTTCAAGAATACTAGCCCTGTTGAAGAAGCTGGCTAGAATTAAAGAGGTGATTCTAACGATTTTTAAGCCAAGTCAGCTACTGGGAACAGAAAAGCTCCTAATATACCAAGGGATAGAAACTACGAGGGGATGTGAAGATCTCACGAATATTTCTATGAATCTATTGAATACTCGTCATCTAATCTTGTCCGTCTTTCTTTCCCTACTTACTTGAATGGGGTTCGTTTTATAGCATATTTCAGCAGGATGTTAAGATCTTATAAGGTTCAGTTTTGCATTGATACATAAGAAGCTTAATAATCTGTTCAAAATCTTTATGAAACAAACCTGTCCTGAAGCCATTTGGAGACAAATCCTCGGGAGATACAAGGAAATTGCCAGCAGCAGCATTAACAAGAATGTCAAGCTTCCCAAAATGCTTGACAGTTAACTCTACAACTCTTTTTGCATCTTCTTGCTTTCGCACGTCCCCCTCAAAGCCAATTGCCTAGCGATGTGCAATGGAAACAAAGGAACGGTAAGATGACACTATCACAACTGAAGTAGTACTCACTGTCCCTATGTATTTGACTGTAGATGGAGTTTAAGTAATAATGGACTTTAGACTCGTAAGTTTAATATTATAACAAACCAAAAGTACCCTTAGTTATATGGCATCACATTCCAATAAGAACATGTTATTAAGGACAGAATGATTATGTTAACTTCTATCTTTGATGGCGCAGATTGTTAGATAAGTTGTTTGGTAGTTTTGATGAGTAGTTGCTACTCTTTTTAACTGCATATTGGGGTTGTCCAAATGGGATTTTTTGTTACCTATACTGAATGCCATTTGGTAATAAAATTCTGTTATCTATCCCCCCCCCCCCCCCCCAAAAAAAAAAAAACTTTCTAAATAAAAAATGATGTCTGTAACGGACCAAGAAGGAATCCTCCGGTCCACAATAAGTGACCAATTTGCTTTCGACACACCCATTAAAGAAATACTAAATTCTAGACGAAAATAGTTATAAGCAAAGATCAACCTAAACAATTGATGAAGTGGCAATTTTAAGGTAAAGCAAAATTACTTTGATTCAATCATGAGATAAATAAGCTGACGAACCCGATGCGAAGGCAAAACAACCAAATAACATATGTTACCCTAAAACATATCATAAGCGAAATCAGGTAAAAGGACAGCGTACAGCTACTGCTTGGTAAAAGCGGTGATAACAAAGAAATGAAGAAAAATGATTGTAGCGTAAAGGAGAAAAGGGGAAAAGAATATTACCGGAATACCAAGGGATTGAAGGTAGGAGACGGCGGAGTCGAGGATGGTCTTGCGGCGGCCCATGATGGCAACGGAGGCACCATGTTTGCCGAATTGAGTAGAGATCTCAAGGCCGATACCAGAACCGCCTCCGGTCAAAAGTGCTACTTTCCCTTTTAGTATGTCTGACTTGAAAGGAGACTCCATTACAAGCCCACTTTGTTTGTTTGTTTGTTTGTTTTCCGTTGAATTCCCACGGAAATGGTAATGTAAATGTAAGAGAGCTGTTAGCGTGTTTGTTATGTGGGCCACTATTAGCCTGTGTGTGTATGAAAATGGTAATTAACGGACAGCCGCCTTGGTCCTCACCACACCACACAATACTGCAAATGGATCCTCCTCTTAATATGGTGGGGCCACTTACAAGTAAGGTCATTCAACTCCAGCCAACTTAAATACTACTCCCTCCGGTCCAAAATAAGTAATTTTTTGGCCTTTTTTTTGATCTAAAATAAGTGATTTTTTCAGATTTCAAGAATGAATTAATTATTTTTTTCCTACATTATCCTTGGAGTAAATAATGTTGGAGTATGTGTTAGGAGTGTTTATGTGAAGAGATAGTAAAGGTTAATATGATCAATTTTATTGCTAATTAATGTTAAACGGTGAATTTCTTAATATGTGTAAAAACAGCTAAAAAATCACTTATTTTGGACCGCATGGAGTAGTAGTTTTGATACATATCCAAACATATAACAATTATAAATCTGGAATTTCAATACTAGCTTTTTAAAATTTTGAAAACAAAAAAGTTAAGTTCCCATGATAAACAGAAAAAAAATTGTTCCTTCTAAAATTACCCCTTAGGAAAATAGATGCTAAAGGGAAAAGATAAGCATTAACTGAAACTTGATTTTCCTGGGAATGAGTTGACGATTGCGTTGGATATTTATTTTTTAGTTTTACATCGGTTTATAATTAAAATGTATCACTTAGTTTTTTTTAAGTGATTAGTTATGTAATTAATTAGTACTTATTAGCTATATTTATTTTAGCATGACCTATATAGTATTTTTAGATTATGTTAATTTTTATTATGGCTTATTAATTAGCAATCTTTGCTTTATGCAATTTTATTATCCTTATTATTGAATATGTTAGTATAATGCTATGACTTATCTCATATTATTGTGTCATTTTCTTGAAAAATATATTATATACTTGTATCTTACTAGGACTAAAGAAATATTTGAAGCACAAGTTACATATTTTGTGCTATGAAGATTTTACCGGAAAAAAATCCGAAAACC